GTGGCCAGTCACCACCAAGGGAGGGGGAAATCCACCGTGGTGGGGCAATGGCGCCAGAAGTGGTGGGGGGGCCAGGTGGAGGGGGTTTGTTTTGACGCGCCATACGTGCCCACGTACTACTGATGAAGTTGCTAAATTTATTATGAAGCATGCGTATAGCCGATTATATCTGAGAAAATCGAAATACGGCTCACGATTCTTGAGAAAAAATAAGAACGTATGATCATATAAGATTACATGTAAGTGGTCAGATTGCGTCAAATATCGGATCTGACCTTATATCTGATCTTATATGATCATATAAGATCCGAAGTTTGGCGCGATCTGATCACTTACATATAATCTTACATGATCATGTGTTTCTATTTTTTTTTCTCGAATTATTTCGCGTTCTAATATTATCGCGCATACCTATTTTATCGCAAAAGATAATGCGTTATACATCAGAACGCGGTTTACTGCAAATTGTTCGAAACTGAAATACACCAATTGTTTCCGAAAATACTTTCGCAATCATAAACAAAATACCATCTGCGCCGCTTTTATGATGTAAATTGAACCACCGCGCTATAATGCAGTTTCATTTTAATTTGCATATAACTGCATACGTAATCAAAAGCTTTAGTGTGAACAAAAGGTTGGGGAAAAGAACATTCTTCAGTAGCATATAAAATTATCACGTTAATGCTGTGTTTATTCTATCTTTAATATTTTTATTAAAATACAAACTATTTTTACTTGCATTATGACAACAATTAAAGTTTACAAACCGTTTATAAATGTTTATAAATGTTATTTTTTTCTTTTTTACGTAAAAATTTATTTGTTGATTAATGTTTTCGACGCTGGACGTTGACTCACCTTCCGAAATCGAAACGAAAAACTCGAGCTTTTATTGCGGTATCGCCGTCGAAACTCGGGATGACTAAGTCGCTCTATTTCTGTCTGAAGAATAGTCTTCTGTGTGAAAGTGGGATATATGTTAGTTATATGAAATATCAGCTCTTCGTCAAAAGTCACGTGCTAACTCTCTTACTGCGATAATCTTCTATTTTTAGAATTTCGAGACATATTCCGAAATACGTTTTCGAAATCCAGAAATAATCATATTTTACAAACAGACATCTGTTTTATTATACACATTATATTGTTTGATTGTCAATATTGCGTTTCAAACATTTTTGGGAGCGAACGAGAGTGAAGGATCGACAACCTACTTTCGCGAATTCGTACGTCGTTATTAATCGTTATTAATTACCATCATCGAGCGGGTGATTACGGTTACTTTGCAGTGTGTGTACGAGGATTACGAGGTATCTATCAACGTCGCTGTAAATTCGGATCTAGGTAACGAGTTTAAGCCTGAAATTCCTCTCGATTTTGTCCTGCGGTGCGATCTAATCTTGTCAAACTGATACTAGAATATTTAACATGCAAAGCGTACTAGATTTCGTCGTTTTTTCTAAGATATTACAAGTAATAAAAAATCATAAAAAACTGTTTTGATCTTAATGTAATCTTAAACATTATTTTTATTAATGTGTCGTCTACTTTATACATATAAAAAACAAACCATTATATTGTATAATTATAAAATACATACTAAAACTGTTTTTTAAATTTATAATAAAATAACGCATGATATATGCAGAGACAACATGTTGGTATAAAATTTTTGTTGAGCTTTTAAGAATAATCTTGTAGCGCCATCGGCTTGGAAAGCTCGCAACCTCGACGTCAAGTCTTTTGCTTCGGTCTTCATCGATAAGTTGTTTGTCGTTGTTTTCTCTTCATCTTCAGCACCGCAGATTATCATTCGACCACGCGAAGCTCGACAACACGTTGTCTTTCTAATGTTTTACGTAGGCTGGCAGCACAAGACCTAGTTAGTTCATGATGATGGATAAAAATATTTTTTATGATACAACAAATAGAACAGAGAGTATAGAACAATAACACAAATAGCGCCGATGTGAAGTTAGCACTTTCACAAAATTGCAAAGTTTAGTCTCGCTTGCCATAGTTTTATAGTTTCTGATAGAATACGCCGATAGTTCTACAAAAGTTCTCAAAAAGTTTCAATGAAAACAATCAATATCAAATTCGTGTATACATATAAATGCAACACCGGAAAATAATTAAATTTAATTTAATTAATTGAGTAATAAAAGTTTTCCATAGTGTGTATATATACTTTGCACTTTTCTTCTGACAATGCTCTAACAAGACGTAAGAAGAAGAGAAAGGAACAGAGCAAGATTGGCGCGAGCAAATGTTTACATAATAAGGACGGATTACAAGTACTTTTGAATCCAGAGAAATTTTCGCAATTAATCTACCCTGCGAGAATGAAATCTATCAACATTCTAACGTCAACTCGGAAACTCGACCGAACTTTCTGCGCTTTTTGAGGATCGTGTATAAGTTCTTCATCCTTGCTCTTTCACGTTTCTCACCAACGGTAACAGTGTAAATCCTGTTTGGGAATACCTTGCTACCAATTTCTCGGAAGGAGTTTCTGCTTTTGAGGAGTTCCGCGGATTTCTCGCATGAGAAGAGACTATCGCGTTGGAGTGGAAACACAGTCCTGCGGCAACACTGTCCTTATTTCCTGCACAAAGACAGCCATAACTCGACGAGTAGTTTGTTCTGAAGCGAGAGTTGGTTCCTACATCGTGGGAATTCGAGAACTTTTTGAGATCTAATGAATAGTGCTTTGAATAAGACTGATCTCACTGCTGCAATTTATTCAACTGTGAAATTTATCCACATTACGTTACATATGTTATAAATAAAAAAAAATAAATATTTGTAAAAGAGATGGGCATTTAATTACAGTAAACTGCATAAAACAATAACGTTTGCCCAATTTCTAAGCGAATCGGTAAAGTTTAAGAGAACGTTTACGCTCTCTGAGCTTTGACAAGTTTAAAGTTAAGCTTCCGAACGATGTACGACATCTTGGTTTACTCTTTCGCCATTACCCGGTCGACTGTTCTGACGTCTTCATTGACCGGTCCCATCATCGCGCCGCGATCTCGTTTCCGCCCGAGCGGAAATGCGTGTGCTCGCGCGCGAGATTTATCTTCAGTCTCTCGCGCCTCGACGAGCCGCGTCATCTTTTCGCCGTAGTCGACGAACGAAGACGAAGATGAAACAGAGAAGCGAATGGAGAGCGAGACGGAGAACGTGTAAAGCTATTCTTAAAATAGGGCTCGAGTGAGCAGTTCAAGTGCGACAAGGAGCGTCGCGTGGCCAAGCAAAAGGGAAGCCGAGAGGAAGAAAGAAGAGAAGGCGCGGAACAAGAAGAGAAAGAGAGTGCAACGACAACGAGCGAGAAAGAGGAAGAGAGGGACCACGGCGTGCCTCGCGGGTCGCCGGCTCTTCAGGGTCCGAGCTTCGTCCGAAACGAAGCACCTTCTCGCAGCGCTCGTCACTTTCGAGCTCGAGAAATCGCGGAGAACACTCTTCTTCGAAAACGGAAGATCGATCGGTTCTTCACCCGGAGCTGATCTTAGAAGTATCTCTTTGATATTTCGTCACACCTCGAGGATTTTGGATGACCGTGGTATCGGTGAATCGTGTGACGGTGTTTAACCCGCGCCTGTGTTTGGTGGTGGGTGGTGAAAACTGGCCGCAACACAACACCGTAGGGGAAACGATTCTCTTATCTTGAAGTTTCTTCGCGAAGAAAGGAATTCATGAGGATCATGGCATCGTACAGAGGCTATGTAAGTTCGTGAGCAAAGTCTGGTGTGTTAAGATCTCGTGATAGAATCGACCTGATTTAGCGCTTGAAAGTGTTTTCGTTTGCCGAACGATGCGACATCGAAGAAATAGCCACGAGAAATCGACTACGTGACTTACTAAGATTTTATGAAATATTCGTTTCGCGAAAAGTTTTCCGTTTTATATACAAAGATGTATATATATATATATATATATATGCAACGTCGTTCCGTGTATTTTTTTTTTACAGATTTGTTGGTCCCATTCTACGCAAACGCGAGACTGAAAGCCACGCATCCGTTTCTATCTCCATTACATTCGAAAAATATCTACGATATCTCTCTCGTACAGGTATCGCACGTCGATACACACATAGAGATCAACGTTAATATCCGTTTGATCGATGAAATCGATATTCCCGCCGATCGCGCAATCCTCGCCCGATACCTTGACCACGTGCTTCCACAGTCGCGAGCACATCGCGTGGGGATATCAGCTGAAATGGATAGCGACGATTTGCGTTCCACACACGCGAGAGCCTGAAAAGCGACACTCAGCGCTATCTCGAATCTGGAATACGGTCAGCTGTCACCATATATTTCTTTCGTGTTGCCGCAAAAATGCGCGATCGATCATCGGTAACGATTCGAAACGTAATCCGTCTCTTCGCGTTAAACTTGCGCATATATAACTAAAGCGCGCGTGCGTTGGAAATTTAATGAATTTTACACCGACGAAATGTGTCGAAAACACGTGTTGATAATAATTTGACAACATTTTATTATCGTTCATTTTCCTCGCGTAGATTTTAAAGTTCATCCCGTTTATATTGTCGAGCAAGTTCGCTTAGTTCTCAGCCTCGGAAACGTACCTAACAAACCTGTGCTCGCGTATACATATGTAATACGTAATAAATGAGAGTTTTAAAGCATATACCGAATATTTAAAGGGCACACCTTCGCCGGGTTGGTTCTGGCCGTTGGTCCCCGCGTATAATTTGAGTGCTGCTTCTGCTTTCGTCGCAATTATGCAATGTAAATGAAGCCCATTAACTTTATCGTGCGGAGGTCCGGGTCGTGCGCTTATTCCTCTCGCGGAGCAAAAACCGAGTGTTTGCGAAGTACCGCTAAGTCGAAAAGCTCTCTTAATAGCGCCGGCACGAATCTATTCGCTCGTTGGACAGTGAGACAAATTATCTGGTTACGTGTAATTTTCCACGTCGCGTTTACGCGTGTATTTCGCGTTATACGGGCTTGACGGTTTCACTCTGTACGGGGGACTGTACGGAAAAGATATTCTCTCGTTGCTGCTAGCTGCTAAATTCACGCCGGTTTCCATACTTCCGCGCGTCGAGTTTTTCACTTTTAGTTCGAAAACTGCAACTAGAGCGGCCGCGCGCGACACCGCGCGCGGTGTTTCCAGCGCGAACGTTGTAGATCTCGCGAGCTCGTAATTAAATTCGCCCCCTTTATCACGAATGTTTCGTTAGAAAATTGTACCGGCCCGACTTTCCGAGTTGCATGCCGGAGAATTCAACACGCAGAAAATGAAATTCTGCAAAGCGACGACGTGCCGCATTTAAAAACACAGCAACGTGCCGGTGTGTTTCTGGATATATTTGATTACATTGACCAAGCTAGTGAAATTACGGAAAATAGCTTAACTCTTGAAAAAGTTGCAGTAATTAAACATTATGCATGAAAAGAACATAATTTTATTCCATATGTAATTAGCTTAATGGTTAAATATAATTATGGTTAAGAGAAATATACTAAGTACATTAATACACGTATGTATTTGCAAAAAACATTTTTTTCTTTTGATAAAAAACAGAGACGTTGCAAATGTTTTATTTAAAAGAGAGAGAAAATATTTCAAACTTTAAGGAAAAAAGAAAATTAAACTTTGAAGATTACAATTAAAGAATTATCAAAACACAAAGCCATAAATCTTAAAAAATCGTTTATTTTGACACACAGATCGATTTATTATATTTTCGTTCTGCGATATATAAAATACATTGCAACTATAAAAACATTTCCACGTATTCAGTGGACACACGGTCGACTCGAAAGGTAGACTTGAACGTTGTTGGCACAAAAGATCGATTGCGTCTCTCTGGGAATCGCGACATGGCCGGGGGACGAAGCTCGATCGTCCATCGAAGGAGGTCAAAGCGATCGTCAGCGACTTCCAAATGCGAATCCCGGCTATGTGGCACCCAGAAAACGTTTTCGTACATCGGGTGCGGCGGCAGCGGGCGGGTCAACCCGGCGCGAGGATTGCAAAATTAGCCCGGGTCTTTCCCAGACGATGTCTGCCCGCGCCATACGAATTCGTGCGTAAAGCTTTCTTCTGCCGCGAACACGCGCATCCGCGATCGGTGCTGGAAGAGAGACGCGATCTATACCGGGTGTCGTGTTTCAAAGCGGTCGGAGAATCAACAATACCAAACTGCAAAAGAGATTTTTCCTTTGTCTTTCGAGCAATATGCCGCCGAGTTTGACATCAGATTACGCTGAGCACAGGCAAACTGTTCCGCTCAAAAATTACCGAGAGACTCCCGAGATGCTTTCGCGAGGCTTGCCGGTCGTCGTCAACCAATAAGGATTTTCGTACGCGACTTGGATGCGAGAAGCGTACCCTTGGGTCGCAAAGTCGTCCTCCTTTATCCTCTAGGTTTCTTTCGGGTGACTTGAGTTCGTGCAACGCGTAAAGTGTGCGTCGATGTATTACGTGAGACGTGAAAGTTCGTCGCAGACAATTTCTGTTTCCGCTAGACTCGAATTACTTCTGCTTTTGGAAACGAAGTAGCACTGCGCACCGTGTGTTGGCTTCATGCCAGTTTTTGCTTTTGTTTGCTTCAAGCAGATTATATTTTGAATTATATTTTTTTTTAATATGTAAAAAAATAGAACACTAAAGTGACACAAAGAGAAATAGCTCGACATGTTAAAAGTCAATTTATAAATAAAGTCGATTTATAAACGCACAAAGAAATATCTTTCTCATTTTATTTTCACAAAAATCGTATAAACTAGTGTCCAGCGATCGAACTACCCGGCATAAGTAAACGACACGAGGTACATTCGATGAAATCGCGGATAAATTTAGACTTACAACGTGTTTGCGCTCTACTTCCTAGACAAGCCATTAGATGCGTTCGGCCTCAAGCTCGGGAACGGCTGACCGATAATACGCTTGAGGCGTGTAACAGAAATTACTCTTGTTTTTGTTTTATTCCACAAACGCAAAATGGATTCGATCTTGAATTACTTATTCATATTTTCACACAAGAGAAGATGTTTATGGCTCGAAGCTTTGTAATTGTCGGCGACAAGCGGGAACTGATTAAACGTGGCAAAAACGACGGGGGAAATAATTTCGCCCGAAGGTGGGAAATAGTTGAAGCAATACGACTCGTTAATAATCTTCCTCCGGGCACGCAGCATGCAATCAGTCAGGGATCGAAACGCGTTTAAACGAAGTTTATATACAGAAGATGCAGAATAAAAGTAAAACTTATATTGGAAACAGAGAGAAGATTTAAAACGGCTTCTTTGAATATTCCCCAACAGCAATCGCGGCTGCGAATGACGGCGCGAACGCTTTTAATCGAGCTCGCTTTATTTTTGTCCTTCTTTTACATATTCTTCTTTTATATCCGCCTTATATGCCATTCCCTTCTTTTTGCTGCGCCGCAATAGAGCTCGATATTTATTGCAACTTGAAATTCTTCGAAAAAATCAGAGACGCACACATTCTCCGTAAGCTGGAGTTACTGTCTCGTTAAGAGAGAGATACTTTTAGAGAAATACTACGATCTTTGTATAATAGGATATTAAAGGATCTGTTTAAAATCTTTAGAAAAGGAAGTTGAAAAATTACAAGTTGGAAAATTGTCTGAAAAGCTGTTCAGGAAGTTTAAAATCGCGAGTTATTTTGTGTTTTAAAACCGTATTGCAATGCACAACCAGACAATTTATTGCACATAGTTTTCGTCACTTTATTATTTTATTTTTTATCAAACCTAACGATAAAATATATGCATTTTAACGCATGTGGTAAGATATCACGACAGACATTTTTTTTGCGATTTTCGCATGTCATTGATAAAGTGCAGCAAGAATGAATATGCGCGCGATGCTGCAAAGAGTGAGAAACGTAGTTGGCTATAAGCGAGAACTCGAGCTGCTATATTTAAACATTGTAGACATGGCTTTGCCCTTTTCTTTACCAAGCGACGACGGAAGTAGATGGACTTCGGCTACTTGATTCTGAAAGAAAGTAACTGTCAGATGTGTTATGCACATTTTAAACAGATGTTTTAGAAGAAAAGAGCTACTTGTCAGTTAGCACATTGAATTAATCTCGTTAACACCAATGCCAAAATACTAGGTGTTTGCTCTCTCCGCTGTGTGTGAACTTTCTTCAATATAGAAATAAGGAGGAACATTTAAAGCAAAAATATTGAATTTATATATTTTATATGCAAGTGCATTAATATCTAAAATGAAGTTATTTGTAATTGTGTGTGTGTGTGTGTGTGTGTGTGTCGGGTTATCTACGCAATTTTCGATAGTACATGCCATTTTTTTTCTATTTTAATGAATTCCAGTTACAACACGTTTCACAACTATCGCAGCTACATTTTATTAAAGCCAACAATCAAATCGAAGCCGCCGTAATATTTGACTGCACCATCGAACTTCGAGCAAAAATTGTTTTTTTTTCCTTTTTTTTCTTTTTTTTTTTTTTTTGCATCATGCCAGCACTGGCGTCGCTGCAACGTTGTTTTGACGTCGTCGCCTTGTTAACGACGCGCCACGTCGAGCAACAAGGTTGTTGGCAAACACAGCTGATCTCGCGGATCAATTGCCGGAATTGAACCCAATTTCACTCCGCGCAGGTTGACCCGGTGCATGGTGTCGACGAGCCAAATCGATAAACGCGTCTGCAAATATTCGACGGCCCGTTACGCGAGTAAATATTGCTGGTGCCCAAAATAAACTAGCCATCCTTTGTTAATAAAAGTTCAACCTAAAAACTAAAATCAGCGTGATTTCTATCGTAATTTCGGAAAACTTAATCAGTTTAATAAAAATAAATTAAATAAGTTTCATTTAGTTATACATAAAATTGCTTTGCAACAAATACGTAAATAAGTAATATCAATTTTTTTCCACTATTTTACAATTTTCTGTAACTTAAAATGCTGTGAAACGCGCATTTATTTGCTATCAGCGAGATATATTTTGCGTGATGAGATATTTTATATAGAAAGGATTTGCTGTAGCTACCTGTAAACATGCAGATGTATGTAAAGAATTATGAATTTTTTGCATGCGCATGGAGGAATGATATGTTCACCTGATGGAGCTGGTTAGCTCGTCTGCGTGTAGCTGGAAAAATTTATGATCCATTCGTCAGCGTTAGATTCAATTTGCGAGAAAAATTACAGTCAGCTCACTTTCGCGTGTGATTGTAAATAGAAATCATTTTCCAGATTGTACATTTACGTTACACTAAATTATTGCGGCAGTAAATTTTTGCGTAATTGGATCGAAAATTAATTTTGCTTCAAAAACGTAATATAACGTATGAAATATAAATTCGAAAATACAATTTTATGATTTATCTGTGAAGAAATTGAGTCTGACTATTATTATTTCCATGTGTGATATCGCTCTGTATGTTATTTTAATATAAAGAAAGTATTTTAATATAAAGAAATTGCAAAAAAGACATGACATTTTTATTTGAATATTTTACATCGAGAGTTTGGTTTAATAGAAATAGTTTTTCGCGGAAAAGAGAAAACAATATGTCCAACACCACAAAGCATCACGACACAATAGCACGTTATTGCTTCCCAGAACTGCGCCTGAACATTGCGGATCTTGAGAGACGTTAATACGAGACGATCGATACTTTGTGGCGTTGACGACGTACGACCTAACAACGACAATGTAATGATGAGCGATTTATCGGCTCGTAACGCAATCGAGAAGTTTACCAACTTTGAAACCGAACCAAAAGGGCTTCGGCCGCAACTTCCGGCAGCAGAAGTTTTTCAATTACACGGTGAGGCCGCAGTTTTCCTGTTGCAATCCTGACATTCTCCAATCTGTACTCGACCAGTAAAATATTTTTGCCAGACGCTTTTTCCAAGCGGTTTTGTCAGGATTTCAGAGAAATTAGGTATCATCGAATATTTGATTGTACAGAGAAAGAATTTCCGGATTTCTGAATCACAACATAAAATTTAAAATATAAATGTAAAATATAAATAATATGTATATAAATAAAAAAATATAAATATTAATCGTATTTTTGCAGTTTAGAAATATGGGATTTTGTTTTTATTTTTACACACACACACATGAAATAGTATTTTATTCTGTGTCGCATTATTAAGTGCACAGTTTGCTCCCCTATGTTTGAAGCGGATGGAAATATATTCATTCGCGTCATGGTCAATGGCGAAACGTATAATAAAGAATATGTAATATATACACATATAAAAGATTTTAATAAAATTTTTTCAAAACGTAAAATAAAACACGCGATATTGTAATTTAACTGCCGCATGAGGGAAGATTATTGTGATCTTTCATATCAAAAAAATCTCTCTTATCGGTATCATGCAAAATTTGTTTCTAAAATGTCATTTCTAAAACAGTCACGTGTTTGCACGTGTGGCGGAGCTCCCTAAAATCGCTTCCTCGATTCACACCACGACGTGCCAAAAATCTTGGCCGATGTCCAATAAATGTAAAATAACAAACCGTCGTCGTGGAACGGCAACCTAATTTGCTTTCTCGTGCGATAATGAGAAACTACACGTTTTTCTTTAGTTAGAATCAGCATTAAATAAAAACTTTCAATTTTGCAAAATAATCTAAGATCTTACTAGCTAATACAATTAAATATGGAGAGTTGTCAATTTATTCCAAAAAAAGAGTAAATTTTGTTAAATTTTTTATAAATACGTGTAAGCACATCAAGTTTCTGAAAAGTTCATGGTCATTGTTTTATAACGTAAAGTGTTTTCGTGTTTATTCTATGATATTTCAAATCAAATAAACTTTTCCTTGAATTGTTTATAACGGGTGATCCAAACGGATCGATGATGTTTCGACTAGTTAAGAATACAATTAAGCAACATTTTCGTTATATCGAGCTCGTGACAGCTGGTCGTGCGTCATAAATTATAATAATGCACCGAGTCGCCGGAGGTTAAATCAGGCTGACACTCTTCAATTATCTGGCCTCCCCTGGTATCACAGTACATCGGTCGCCCACATCCTCATCAGTGTCATCAGGAATGTACCGCATCATCGCGGATAAAACGTTTAGTCTCTCATGAGCTCGAATACTTCTTTCAAACAAGTAAAGCACTTGAAGCGATAACGTGCCAAGTCACTATCTTCGCGAGAAGCAAAGACCGATTGCATCGAAAGCGACTTAAGAGCCCGGCTTCAAAACTTTTGCTAAGAATAAATCGCGCTATATCCATTAATGTCCTGCGTCTCATTCTCTCGGATTGGAATTTTTTACGAAAATGACAAATTTATTGATACTTAAGTAATAAAAATATCTTTTGTGTTATTTCTTTTTTTGTTAATGTTATTATTTGGTTGTTACGCGATGCAACCAAAAGAAGGCAACCGTAGAAAACGTCTTCTTCGCGGATTGCTATAAAAAGATGCGAAACCGCAGCGCAGATAGAAAGCCGCTCACGTCTGCTATGTTTTCTTGCAGTATCACTCTCGATTTCATCGATAGAGATAATAGGGAAAGTATACATGGAAGGCGTTCCGTGCTTCGCACACCGTTGCATCTTGCAAAAAAAGCTGAAAAAAAAAAGCTGAGCGAAACACGCCTAACTGGAGCGATTGCTTTCGCCCGCGGAAGAGGAGCGATTTATCTGACAGCGCGCGTGGTGGTTTCGGTGCGGAGTGGAAAGAAGCACGTCGTAAACAGCTACTTTTATGGGCGATAAAGCAATATTGGAAGATTCACCCGAGTTGCTTTCAATCCGAGTCGCCGCGACGAGATATCGCAGTGAGAGTCGCAGACTCGTCATTGTCGAAGGTTGACGGATTAGCGGGTCAAGTGCGCCGATAAATCGCCAATCGATATTAGATAGATCGATCGGTATACGTCCGAGAACATCTCGCGACGACTATTTGTATCAATTTCTTTCTTTTATTTCCACTTCTCTTCTTGCCGTAGCTCTCTACTGTTGCACGAAAGATCGTCGGATTACAATAAAAGCATCGTAGCTATTGCCGTTTCGTCTTTTCGGTGACAGATCAATCGATTTCCTTTTCTATTACTTTGAAAAGAGACGTAGAGGAAAATTAAGAAATCTCTCTCAAAATAAAATTGCTTTGAAAGCTACGCTTTTCAGTGATACTGCAAGAAAATTTCGTTATTTTCTTTCAAAGAAGTGGTGTTTGTAACTTTCTCTGACAAGTGTAAAAGTAAAGTTTGTCTTCTAGGAGAGTTTGATAACTCTTTCGTGATTTCTTACAAATTTTAATTTTTAACGTAGTATTTTATGGCAAAATATATCGATTTGATCTAATGGACGATTGATTGTTGTCAGGGTAAAGAAAGGCGTAAAATATCGTCGTTTTGTAGTTAAAATCGGTTCGGACGTGATAATGGGACGGAATACGCGACGAAAGGACTTATCGTGTTCGACGTCGTTTCCGCTCGAAGAAATTGCTTTGGCGATCTTAAGGAATGACTGTCGTAATTCTATTATCGCACCTCAAATGCCATTAGCATAATAATGAACGGCACTTTTTAGAAGTCTCAGCACAGGAAACGAGCCGGAACTTCCTTTGTCAGTGCGCGTTATCGAGGGTTGCCGTCATTTCCTAGGTAATTGAAAACGAAAGTGAAACCAGCTACGAGTGAGTTGAGTTTGATGCGCTATTCGTAGTTTCACTATTTGTCAAACGTAATCAAAAATAATTTAAATTAAATTAAAAATTTATACACTTCATTTTTTGCGGGAACAACAAATGTGAATCGTTATTTGTGTCGCCCGTTATACAAGAGCAAGAAACTCGCAAAGGTTATTACACTCGTTCAGGTTGATCCGTCTATTTCGAGACTACGGCACGTCGCCAAACTTATGGTAATTATACGAATTATGATTTTTTTTTGTCTTCGCACACCTACGCATGACGTGCGTTACTTCGGTTTTAGATTCTACGGAAATAGTTTCTCTCCTTATAATCTAACTTCTCTCTCTCTCTCTGTTCCCGAAATAAATCTTGAATAATTAACAACGCCAAGTCATTAAGAGCGGATTAGAACGTTTTGATAATCAACGACAACAACAATTTACGCGTAACTTATTTATCGCGACCAAAAAAGTCTTCTGATGAAGACATCAGAGATGCGCCATCTCGTTAATGCTGGTTACGTATTATCCTACGTATTATTCTCGTTACCGTTAATATCCTGGGACACCCACAGTCTAAGTTCTTGTGTCTTATTGGCTTAACGTCCGACCCTTCTCGTTACAGTAAATGCAAGAAGCGCCCGATAAACCTTGTCAGCGTAATAAGATAGTAATGATGAATGACGCAACCAGCAAGAAAACAGCGTGTTTGCTAACAGATTACATCCTTCCCGGGATAAACTTATTATAATTTATATTTCTATCGCAATTAGTTGCAGACTTTAGTCGCAAACTTACTTACAAAAAGACGAGATGTATACAACAAGTTTATTTACGAACTTACTCAGAAAATATATGCGGTTTCTTCTATTCCGCGATTACAGAGCGATACGGGATCATACCGGAGCAGAACCGGCGTCGGCATTGCCAGCACATTCGGTAGGAATGTTTCCGGCGGAAGTAACCTGCCAAGCTGTAGAAGCAGTTATTCCGGAGTAGGATCGAGTTCCGCTCGAGTTGCCGCCAAGGAACGCCCGCTTGCTGGGTTTGGAAGCGCTTTTCTCAAAAAGGATAAAATGGATGAGAAATTCAAATATTCATGTGAGAATATTTATATTTGTCCGCAAGTAATTTTTATTTATTTATATAATCCACACAAGAAATGTATGTACATATTAATTTGTATTTTTAATCAGATTTGTATGATTAACCATGAAAATTTTTTTTGTAACTTTATTATTGCAAATAAGTGTGTTATTTTATTTGAAAGAGAAAAACGTGTTTCCTCAAAATTCTCGCAGGTGTCAAAAACGCTGACAAAAGTCGATTGCATTCCGGAAGGTCGTCATCCGAGGACGTAAGGTCGAAGAGCCCGCTATCAGACAGCAGGTCGTCTCTTTACTCGTTCTCAGCTGGCAAAACATCGGAAAGGCCGTCCTCCGTGCTAGACAGATATAACCGGCCTGCATCGCGGGAAAAGAGCAGAGAGTCCGATGGAGTATCGCGGTACGGATCCAGCACGTATCCCGGATCGAGTTTCGGTCGAAGTTACGGCAACGATGGCAGGATCGAGAAGAAGGACCACCCGCCGGTATCCTATCGAGGATTACGTTCCAATTCCGGAAGAACGTCGCGCGAGCCCAGTCCGGAAGTCAGCGTCGGAAAAACCAATTCCTTCAGAGTCTATTCGAGAGCGTCGTCTTACGGTCGCTCAGCTGCTTCGCCCAGTAAGTATATAATGCCTCTCTCACTTCGTTCTCTCTGTTGGATAATATAATATGATTGGATATTATAATAGTGATGAAAATGTATGTACATCTTTTAAGGATATAATTTTATTATTAACTTTATTTCATGATTAATGTTGTTATTATTATAAATATTACAAATTATTATAATAAATATATTACACTTTATGTAATAAATATACTATTAACTTTACAAACCACGGATTTTTTCCGTTTAACAGCGCCAGAGTGCTTAACGAGTATTTTTAATCTCCAAGTATTTGCGATCTGGCATCTATAGCGAATAAAGTTTCAAAAGAAGACTGCTTTTCAGACACGTCCGAATCGAGCTCGGCCACAATCTCGACGAGATTTGGCTCGACAGCTAGTTCGCGACTTCTCTCATCGCGAAGCAGCAACGAACGAGTGTCTGCTGCCATAAGCTACCCGGCGACAGACAGATTCCGGAACTCGAGCAGTAAATCTATCAGCCAGAAGAACGATGAAGAATTAAGACTAGCCGGTAAATTCGACAAGGATGACAACCGTGAATCATCAAAAACTCCTAATCGAAATGAAGAAGACGATAGCACTGACAATAGAATTCCTGACGAGTTTGTCACACTAACAATGGTAACCAGAAGCACCTCGCCAACACCTCCAGCTTCCTCGTCCTACGTAAGGAGCAGACGGGCAGAAATCGGCATTGTTTATCAGAAAGAGGTGACTAGACTTCGAAAACCGCCGGACTCAGCAGACGAAGAGACGCAGTGCGATCGAGTGGAGGAAACATCGAGGTTTTCCAGGTACGGCGGTAGCAATAGAATATCCAGCGTACCCTGGTCGGCATATCTCGATAAATATTCATCCGGTGCAACGTCCACAACCGGAAGTTCATCTATGTATTCGAGAGGATTTTCCAATACCAGTTCTTCTAGCGGTAGATCTAATGGTTTCGCGTACACCAGAACGAACGAAGCATCGACAATTGCGAGAAACGATATCGCCGCTAAAGAAACGTCGGGTTCTAGTCAAGATACTCATAATTCCGGGAACAGAAGTCAAAGCGAGAAAATTTACGGCGATTCAAACTGCGCGAGAACCGACGACGAGAATTCAACGACGCCCGATAATTCGAAGACGTCGTCGAACGGTCAGAGTGCTCACAAAACGAATGAAGACTTGAAAGAAAGCAAAGTACAAGGTAGCCAACAGTGTTCTTGCGGCGCTCGAAAGATCGATATGAGTGGAAATTCTCACAGTTCCATCCGAAATTCTATTCAGGACCCCGCTTTACGAAAAGAAGATTCAACGATGCAAGATTCCCGGGAAAATAAAGATAGATACGATGAATGTAATCAAAGAAGACCGTCCATTCCTCGATTAGGATGTAGTTCGCCGAAAAGAGAAATAACAATTCCCAAGTGCGCCTCAAAGACTGAACTCGCATCATCGAAATCCGAGGCGCGTTGCGAGAGAAGAGAATCAACTTCGAAATCTGGATCCGATGCCAGCTTTTCCTCGAAAGTCGAGGAACCTCTTCGGATTGTGGAAGGACATTGTCAAGATCAAGACGAAACAGTTCGCCTTTGTGACGTCTCGCAAAGAAAAGATTCTTCATCGAGGTAAGTACGTGCATCTGTCTCAAATAAGATATTTATTCGATGTATTAATTGTATCTTTGTTTCTAGAGCGTAAAGTACGTAAATTATACATAACATTGATATATTTTTATTTTGACAACAAAGTAAATCACATTATTGAAAAATATAAAATTTTATATTTTTATATTTTATATTAGTAGAATATTTTGTCTATTAAATTTTTTTATTTATTACATTCTTTTTACACATTGCATATAATTTGCAGTAAAGAAAATAGCGTAACTTGCGTTAGATGTCACCTATCTTTTTTTAGCAACTGACATTTTTTGTTCTAAAAGCTGTTCTTCGCAAAGTCGATCGACATCCCGAAGCGCGTCGACGAAAAACTCGCCGCGTCAAATGACGCGGACCAACTCGTCAGACGGATCTTCAGTAAGCTTGCCAATTGGCAGATCGAAATCATCGTCAGCTAGTTCGGTGACGAATCAGGGTGTAAAAATAAAAGCGACAACGCCGCCATCGTCCGGCAAGTTATCCAGTAATACGGCACCGTCGTCGTCAGTGAATCTACGACAAGGCGGTTCGCCGGACGCGCGCGGCAAACCACCTGTGCCGAAGAATGATACTACGACCGCCGCCACGTCAAAGTGCATCGTGGCAGCGAAGTACGTGAACAAGGACTTCCGCAAGTCGACCTTGAACATGGAGAACGGCGATCCGTCCCGCTCGAAGTACGCGAGGCGGAAGAAATGTCAGAGAACCGTCTCGGTTAGCTCGCAAGACTCCGAAACAACGTCCGAACCGATGATCCAAGCCGCCTCTTCGGGTTCTTCCACTTCACTGAAGTCTGGTCGATCGAGGTTAAGGACTGCTTCGGGAGGAGCGAAAACGACGATCAATAGAACCGACTCGAACGGTTCGGTGAGGTGGGACGAATCGAGATGCGGCTCAAAGTCACCTTGCGGAAGGAAGAAGAGGCCGTCTGGAGCGTTCAGTTCCAGCAACAGCAGTCAGTCGACTGACTCCTCCAGCAGCGAGAACGACGGCGAACGCAAAATGAACAGACCGGGTTCGAGACGGAGAAGAAGACAAACGTCAGAGTCGCCCACGCGCGAGACGAGAGGTAAAATCAGCGCGGGATCATCGAGAACGAGCGTGCTAGCGTCGTCGGCGGACGAGATATCTATGGCGACGGAAAAACCGCCCAGGCCACCTTCCAGTCCGCGATCGAAGAGCGATCGTTCCCCAAAGACCGAAGAAGCGAAATCCTTTCTGATGAGAGCGCTCGCGCCAGTGACGAATTTTTTTAAAAAGAGCCAGGACTCTACCGATACTAATAAATCAGGTGGCGGTTGGGGTGACTCTAACGACGAGAACTATGAAGTCAGCAACAAGTCGGGTCAACCGTTGTCTCCGAAATCAATTGGTCAGAATCTGTCGAAAGGTCACAGTTTTACCAATTCCGAGAGAAGCGACGAAATTAGAGAAAGCAATAAGAGGATTCAGCATCAATCGTCCGGAGAAAAGCCGTGGTGGTTGGATCCGAATTCCGATAACGTTCCGGAAGGGATTGAACGAGTTAGTCCGTGGAATGAAGATGTCAGTCAAGATACGACAATCAGCACCGTCTTGCCGGATGATGGTAAACAAATTTATTTTTCAATATCTTTAATTAGAAGAATAGAAAAAGATATTAAGGATTGATTCATTAACGAAACTGTTTAACGTTTAGCTCTCTTGAACAATCAAATTTTGTTAATATTTTTACTTATCAGTATTTTTCACACCCTTTTCAATTAATTTTATTCATCTCGCGCACCGACACAGGGAAATACAAACTCAAAGTTTGGCGTCAAGAGTCGGGGGAACGCGGTTGGTGGTTAGACGAGGTCTCAACGGAGGAGCTGAAGAAGTCGTCCTCGTCGGCGTCTCCGCTCTCGAGACGTGGATCCAACCGGGGCAGTTTTCGGTCAGCGGATCGACGAAATCGCATCAGGCATCAACAATCCGGCGAACGAGCGTGGTGGATGAGCGACGACCCCGAGAACATTCCGGAGGGCATCGAAGTCATCCCCGTCGTGGCGTCTCCCGACATCAGGCACGTCGACAAATCTGATGGCTTCGTCGATAACGAGAGCTTCGACTCGTCGAAGCCGCTTAAGAAAATCCGGCATATCGAATCCGGAGAGAAGGCGTGGTGGATGGACAGCTCGTCGAACGTTCCTGACGGCGTCGTCAGAATCCCCGCGGAAACTTCGAACAGCACTTCCGATTCCTCCGAGTCGTACGAGAAGATCGATATTGGCGTTAACCCCGAACCCGAGACGGGTTCCAAGAGGAGCCTCTCCAGATTCCCCATTGAATTCCCGCCACCGCCACCCGAGGAGCCGTTGGGGGATCGCGCGAGTCCGGAAGGGGTAAAACTCACATCATTCAGCATTCGTTATTTCGCGGTTTTATATCTCGGTTCAGCGTTTACACGTCACTTTGATAACGACCTCGCGCGGTCAGATAAATATACGATCGCGGAATAACTTAAATAAAAGAGAGATAAGATGTAACAAAGATTAGATTACCAATAAAACGTGTCTGTGTTCAATTAATTGTTAAGATAAAATGATAAGATGAGAGCCAATATATATAATTCAGCTTGTTGATCGGTTTACACTTTTTCTCACAATGTTTGTTCGATTTGTAGAAAGTGCTGAAATGTGTGAAATGTCACCGGCATGCGTCAAATTGAAAGAAGTACTTGTAGTTTTACGTAATTGTTCACATTACGTTATTTTGTGATTGTTTGGTTTTTGTTAAATAAAACAAAAAAGTGTGAAGAGGTGCAAAGAAGTGTTACCAAATACTTGAGTTTGTTATCTTTTGCTGTTAGGTTGAGAATCCACCTGATCCGCCGGATAATTACGGCGGACGAGACTCGCCTTACGACAATGTACAACCGACACCCCGAAGATTGTCACCAAGGAAACGACCCTCCACTCTGCCGTTGTTCATCGGCGAACACACCGACATCGATGACGTGATCGGCGATACGGCCTCTCTGTGCCGCAGCCCTGTTCTCTTCCGTGTTCGTAAACAGGAACGCGTCGAAGAGGGTGAGTCCAAAATGAATTTAGCGTCACTTAGCGATCGATGCTATCGCATCCAGCTTACATTGCTTCCGCTGGATTATCAAATGTATCGAATATAGTTTAACAAAGTGGAGCGACATATGTAAATTTACGAAAGATTTTTGCGTTCGAAATCATTCAGAGTGTAAATATTTTGTTAAATATGACATTTTTTTTTATATTTATATTTAAATAGAATATTTCTTACATAGAATATTTATTGTTTTTATTATGGAGAAAAAAGAGAAACATTTAAACATATTTTATCGTAAATGTCATTTGTTTTTTGTCACAGATTCTTCCGAAAACAGCTCGGAGTGCGAAGAAATAGACGCGACGCAGGTGATTATTCACGACAGCACGCCGAAAACACCGGTGATTCAACGAAGAAATCGGTATGTTTCGCAATAAAAGTCATGTATAATATACATACATATATGCATAAAAGTTTGATATTTATGAATTCGCACAGTTGTCAATAATTATGCGCATAATTCATCAGCCAATAAAAATGTTTCTCTTTCAGAGATAACGAGAGGATTCAACCAAATGGCTACATTCCGGTAAGTTTTGTCATGCATATATTTTTGTGTTTGCGCGTGCATCAACAACAGTTTTTCTTTTAGTATTCGAGTGCTTTTTGAATATACTAAAGAAACGGGATAAATATCGTCACGTAAATTGCGGAGCTTTTCATAAAATTACGAGATATTCTCGGATGAGAGTGCAATAAATTTGCTGATGAATTGTGCGCCTCATAAGATGCGAAGGGAGGGAGGGAGGTTCCATTGTATATTCCGCTCTTCTTTGTGAATTATGCATTTCGTTCATATTTCCCGCTTCAACACAATATGTGCGATACGTACGGTAGTCGCGCGCTTAGGGGATGAATAAGTTGCAGCCCGGCTATATCGAAAAAGCCTACTAACAAAGATCCACGAGAGAATGGACGAGATCAAGAGAAGTGGAAGCGGGCGACATTATTGTTTCTTGCGAGGGATGAACGAAAGAGAGCTTCTTGCCACCCTCCTACATTTTTCGTACAGCGCACAAAGCAATGCTAACAAAGGCGCTCCGTTCGCTCAAGTACTTATCGTTCTTCGCATATTGCATCTGGATTTACAATTATTCTCTGTGGCGCGTTGTTACGTAGAGAAATCTTTTTTTTTTTTTTTTTTTAACATTAAATTCACTTTACTTTTAATTTAAGTTTTATTGCGAATATATAATACACACAGCTCTCGTAGAATTTTATAAATATATAATATATATATATATATATAGTTTTTGTGTAGAATCTTATAAATGTAATGCGAATATCTTTGAAAATACAAAGATAGATAAAAATATATTTGAGATCCTATTTATAAATATTGATCGCTTGTTACGTACAGAAAAGTCAGGTATATTTTCACGACCTTTTCTGATGCGTATCTTACCAGAGCGCGCGGGTGCGCGTTAGCACCCTCGTGCACAATAAACCCTCCATCACGTTTCTACGGACTCGACGTCCCCTTTTGTGCTATTCGAGATCCCCACAGACTCGTATTACGTAGCCGACAATACTCATATAGATGCGCTTACAGTTTCATATCTCTCCACATTGTGTTGTTGGCTTGTTATTTTTTAACTTACAAATACATGAATCACATTCTACTTTCCTTTAAAAATCACTTGTTTTGAATATATTTTTATACACAGAGAGCGTTTTGACGTGCACAAAATATGCCTGTTTTTTTCCAGCAAAAAATATCATTGCACAATGTCGTGCACATTAGAAACGCTATTCTCACGCTAACAATAAGTAACGCAGTTTAGTAATTAATTTATAGATCGCGTGGCATTGTGTTGTACACAATATTTTCTGAAGAAAACGGTTTATGATATGTTATTTATGTTAAACGCTTAAATTATATAATACGTTTCATGTTCAATTAATTTAAATAAAATCACATTAGTTTAAACTTTAAAATTTTCGACGAATTTGTCATATCAAACATGTAATAAATCTCACAGAAATTAGATATTATAATATTTTTGAAAAACTTATTATTTTGAACACTGGGATTCAGGGTGCGCACAGAAGAACTCGAATGAGAGAGAGGGGTTCGTCCACGCGGTGGCGACACTGTCGACCGACGGCGACAGGTGTCCGCGGCTCGTTCAGTGTGGCGGCGGCCGCTCTCGAGGTAAGGTACGTTGTTGTGCGCGCGTGCAAACGTACGTGTATCATCGCGCAATATCGACTTTGTCTCCCTTTTCACCCGCACTCGTGCGTGCACTCGTGTTTTTCTCTGGTGCCGCGTCCCGGAAGAGGCACACGCGTTTCCGTTCTTCGCGGCGGCGGTGGATGTGCGCGTGTCGCTCAAAAGGTGAGTTTACTACCTGCGCGCAGACTCCGCACACTGAAGGTTGCCGAGAAGCGCGCGCACTTTCATCGGCGCAGGGCAACCTGAACCCTAACCGCTTCCAAGCTGGCCTTTCGTTCTCACCTTAGAGATCTCGTCACCGGTTAACAACAAAACGTCAATCTAAGTAAATAAGTTTGCTTCGTGTTCGACAACACAAAAGAATAATAATTAAAGGCACGTAGGAACGATGATATATATTTTTAAAGTTTTTATTTGAAAACTAATAACTTCATTCGAGTTCGAAAACAGACAAACCAAATAATTTTCGGCTTGATAATAGATAAAACAAATACAACAAATAATTACACAAATGGCTAATTTTTATATTGCTGAAACTCGTTTTAACAAGTAGGATACATTTGATAGAAAAATTCTTTGTTTTATTAAAAGATATTTACATATCGCAGCACTTGTCTATAAAGTTTTTTAATTATTGTACTAATGTACATACAATCTGTGTTCAATAGAAATGAATTTAATAGAGGTATTATATGCTCTACAAAAAAAAAAAAAAAATATAAATAATATAAATTTTTTGGGGTGAAATTTTCAATTAATTAAGAAGACATTTTATTTCTTCTTCTGACATAAACTTCAAAACAATCTCGCAAGTCTAATATATTTTGACTCCGAACTTCTCACAACATTGATGTTATTGATATCGCACTGTACACGTAAACCTTTCGAAAAGAATATGGAACATAGAATTTCTTACATTTGACACATCAACGATCGAACGCGCTCGATTCGATCGAAATATTTTCGCGTGAATATTGCCTGGTCGGTTTAGGAGTTTGGATCAGTAATTTTCTGGAATGTCGCACGCTGGTGTCTCGACTGGTTTCTCAGCCGCTCCTGTGCTGAAGGACGTTATTTATTTCGGAGGTTGGGTTAGTTAACGCATACGGGGACGATAGGTCCGGTTCATGTTCGCTGTTCCGTCACGCTTTTTTTCAGTCGTTCACCTTCGGATCTGCCTCGTGCAAAATTTTCACGATGTAATTTACTCCAAAACAAACGCGGTATCGATTCCTCTCAAAATATCAGTCTTCTAATAATTTATAGATTTATTGGAAAGTAGTTTTGTGTGAATTTCTTTATTTACAAAATCCAACAAAACTGTTTTAAATATTTAAATTGATAAAATATAAACTTTTTTATTTACAATTTATAATCTTTTGAAAATATGTTTTAAAACTTGGAATTTCAGTAAATAAAAAATATGCCTGAAAATTTGATTTGTTTTCGAGAAAACCAGTAAAACGCCGTGCTCCGGAAGGCACGGTGTTTGGAAAGATGGATTTGTTGATTCAGACGAGTTTGGAAATCCACGCGAGTTCGATCTCGCATCGCGATCGCATCTTGATCATGAATCTTTCGTCGACCACAACCGCGATTACATTCGTAGCATGGCGCAGACTCGTTTTCCCTTCTGACTCCCTCTTCTCCACATCTCCCCTTCACTTTGTCTTTCCTTCCCTCGTGCACTGCGTCTCTCTTCTTTCGCTCGTCTCTCTTTTGCTCTTTATCTTTTCGCTCTTCGTTTCTTTTCTACCTTTCTCTCTTTCACATATTCGCCCACTCTTTATCTGTCCTCTCTCCGTTTCTCCCCTCAAGCTGATTCGAAGAAGGGCTATTCGCGACTAAGAACAATGCGAAAGCGAAGATGACGAGAGACGTGTCGGCACATACTGATAATGACAGCTTGCAATTTTATTTTACGCCTGGCGTCGATTTTCCTACCATGTCGCAAGGAAGGAAGTCTGTAATGCGTGAATAAATATCGCGTCACGTAGGCGCCTGTTACTGCATAACTTTTGTCATTTTTATATATTCTTCGAATAAAAACTTTTAAAATTATAATCTTTGATTGAAAAATAACACAAGCACAGCGCTACTGCTATACGTATTAACGTTGAATTTATTAATAAAAAAAGTATCTTGTATAAATGAGAAAATAGTAGAATGTGACTCCGTAGTTTTCATATTTTCCAAGATGGTAAATTTTAACTTAATGATTACAATTGACGTAAGAAACAAAGTATCTTCTTCTCTCGGTTTTGCATACTTTTTTTTAAGAAAAAAAAAAGATGAAGAAAAATATCGTCGTGCAATATTTCCGTACGAGAAAAGATGCATACTTAATAACGCGGTGGCATAAGCGCGTGAGAACCGGTATTGGTGATGCACTTTTTCATAAGCGACCGTGGCGAGTTCTTCCTGCGCACCCGGTATAATCGCAATGTGTTGCAGCGGAGGAGATCGTAGGGATTTAGATTTTTTGAAGTGCGACTATCTACAACAAGTTTCTACATCAGGTAGTTATAACAGTTTCTACTACATCGAACTTGGTGTAATGTCTTTGCGCGCGAACGCGATACCAATACTTCGGTAAAACAACTTTGTTGACAAACTGTAACTTTTATAGTTGTAAGTTTCGTAAGGATATTACATTACATTGGGAAAGTTTTAATTATCTCGCGTAAAAGAGATTGAAACGTTAATATCCTTCGAGTCACAGATGCGCACGCGTTTATTTTTCTTAATATACGAAAGCCTTGAACGGAGGCACGGGACATTCTGCTGGTTTTCTGCTTTGGGTTAACATATCGATAAGCGAGTGAAAGGAAAGTCCGAAGGTCAACGACCGTCTGAAAACGACGTGGACACCGGTTGCATTAACGATGATGTGACTACAGTCCTAGATCGTTATGATTCTAATGTTGCCACTTTCACGGATACTTTATGCGCGCCTTCTGTCGCAGAGTTCCTACGTGCCTGATAACCTTTCCACGATTGGTAGATTGCTCGGAAAATGAAAGTATAAGAACGAGTATAAGAACAAAGTGGATGAACAGATTTATAGATTCGGCGGAATACGTGATCGGTTATCGCGATCCAATAAATTATCGGAGGGGAAAAATCGGTAGAATAATAACATAAAGAGAAATTCTATTTCTTTTACTTTAGAAACATTTTTGAACGAAATATTATACATTTAGTGTGTAATATAAATATATATTTTACATAGATATTAATAAACAAAAAAATTTTAAATACATTAATGTTTTAGAGTTTTCCCCGTGCAATCTATCACTTACGACACATTTTGAGATCTCAGCGAGAATTAAAGGTGTAACCAGCAGCGAGCGAACTCACACACATACATACACGTATACACAGAAGACAGAAGTAAAGAAACGTTTGGTCTTTTCGTTTCAGCCGACAGATCGAATCGAAATAAATCGACAAACCGGTTCGCGCGTCGCGTGAGTGCGCCACAACGTGTGCGCACACGATCGTCGTGTGCACGTGAAAGAGGGCGGGGGGGTGGGGTGAACGTAATCTTTTTTCGGGGGAGAATTGCGAACAGCCCCAGCCGCGACGGGAAGAGATGTATCGCCAGATGTTTTTCACGTGCCAAGTGCAGTACCTCAACGACGTCGATCCGTTCAGTTATCCAACCCTCTATCCGGATGTTAACCCTCCCGATCACACCTTCAGCGCAACCTTGCCGCTAATCAACCAGCTCGCCGCAGTACACCGACTTCTTCGAGCGCCTCACAGGGTAAGTCATTATTTCCGACCTATTTTTCGCCGCACTGTCTAGAGCTGCAATTAATGAGCGCTATAATGCGCCTTGCGTGCCAAGAAAATACTTTTAATTACATCTCTCTAAATTTGACGATTCTCCTCGGACGGGTTAGTTTTACAGGAACACACATATTTTATAAGAGACTCTGAAAAAAGTCTGGTTAACGTATTTGATTGATTTATTGTCCGAATTCTTTCGTAAATAAAAAATGTTGCAAATGAAATATTAGCAACGAGAGAGTTTTTTTACTGCGTAAAGAGCTATTCACAATATACACGTATAATTTTTACCATATTTATACGTTAAATTTTGACAAAGAGTTCGTCTCTTTTTTAAAAGCATAAATAAAAAGCTTTCTAAATTTGAACAGTTTAGGTACGTTATATCCGCGTTAAATATTTATGACGGTTTTTGTTCGGTATAAATCTACATCTCGACTTGCTTTCGCAATCAAATCTTTTAGAGTAAAAGCTTTGCGTAGATTAATTAAATTGCTTCATTAATTTAGTCGCAGACCGTTGATGAGTTAAGTTCTCGTTTTACGAAACTTTTCGCTTCTACTTTTTTTCCGCTGTCTTATGATTACTTAAGTGAGGACTTTCTCACTAGGACGAATACAAGAATCAAGACATTGAAGACGCAAACTTCATCCGCGGATAACGATTCCGCGGGAGGAAAATGTCTAAATCGCAGCCAAAGTGCTAATTATTTTTTTACGATATCATTTATCATAGATTTTGCGCGGTTTGTAATTAATTTCTCGAGTTACGCACAGTTGTGAAACTCCTTTTATGATTCGCATTGAAGTACTTAATTAGCACCGCTCGTTGCGGTAAAGCATCCAAACACCTTCCAAATGCTCGTGGTTCGCAATCATTAATCATGCGGAGCGCAGCGAGTACAACACGCGGTGAACTTTATTCACCGCGAACTGAATGCAATTATCAATAGATTCTCATTGTGTTTGTAATGAGAGTACAAAGCAAATTTCACGACGCAATTATTATTTGTCAGCATCTCGCTATTATAGTGTAAATGAGATAGCGTATACAAGGAAATTGAGACAAGAAGTTTTCACACTTTTAAATTGCGCAAATATTTTATACTTTTTATGCTGAACTCTACAAAATGTATATCAAATTCGAATTTTGTAAAATTCGAAGTTTGCAATTTCCCACTAATTAAGAATCCAAGAGTATAAATCTTGAAGTTTAAAAAGATCACGAGAAACGGCAATTTGCCATTAATCTATTGCATTCGTAGAACCGCACTTGTAAGTTAGATTCATCCTTCAAAATTTATTATATTAGCAGTTCGCCGTGCGCGATATCAGAGTTGCGCAGCAACACTCGCTCAGCAAAGCTGCCACGAAGTAACTGCTACAAATTGGCGTTATTAAAATCCTCCAATCGGAGAGATATATCCTCGGCATTATACGAGCGATCATAACTTCTGCATACATCTGCTACGTAAATGGATGATCCTTCTAGTCGAGTATACCCCCCGGAACATTATTCATCAGCTGATCAAAGGATATTACATAGTCGCTGCTGCCACTTTACAATAGAACTTAACAAAGGAGCTCGGACGGAAAACAAAGTGGGCGTAAGAAATAATAAGATTTGTGTGCGTGAAAACTTGTAATTTGACCTTTATAACAAGATAATTGTGTTTTAATCGAGATATTTAAAATTGAAAAAAACAGAGAGAGATTCGGAATATATGCGAAGATATATTACTTAATAATAGAAGTACGTTTGTGTTGAGAGAAAATTATATGTTATTTGTGACATAATACTCGGTGTGCTGAGATTAGGCACAAACGGAATACCACGTACAGCAATCACCGTGGCACGTGGGCTCCTTTGTTTGCTCCGTCATCGTTTCTGGGACGATCCCTTCAGCAGCGACTATTGTCCGTATACAGTTAAGCGCATTGTCACTTAAACCTCAGCCGGCTACCTCACCGACTATACACTCTGACCCAATTGTGCTGTCGCAATGTTCCTCTCGGAACAGCTCCGAGTTTGTGATCCTTCCGCGTTCGCGTGCAGTTGCAAAATTCGGGCAATCGCGTCTCTTAAATATTTTTCTCGTGAAAACAGTTTGCTAAACAAAAAAAAAAAAAGAAAACAGATTTCATTTTTCTCTAAAAGATACGTAGTAAAATATTTTCTAATTTAATTTATTAAAAAAAAAAAAAAAAACAAGAACGTCCAAACATAGGACTATCAAGTTCACATGAACGTTATACAGGATATCGATACAGTTCAATAAATGATGTAACATCGCGGAAGATTAACTGTAGAGCAAGCGTGTAACGAGCCAACATGATATAGGTAGAGACCGTATAATACTTTAACTCTCCCTCTCTCTTTCTCACTCTTTTGCATCTTCTTCCTTGCATCTGAAGCTTCGAGAGGTCCGTGAAATGTCCGCCGACTCTCTTAAGGCCCTTCTTCGGCAGTTCACCGACGTAACGGTACATTGCGAAGCATTACTCTCTCGAAGAAAAAAATAAGCAGTTCGTTTACGGCCTGGGTATTATGTACCTATAGCTATCTCTCGCCAATATACCGGTTATCTCGAGGACAGTGGCGAGTTCTTGCATAAAGTATTTCTTTATACTTGTCCTTTTTACTACCTTTGATATTTTTTCAAACAGAGTGTCTGATAGTTTCGAATATTTGTTTTTGTTTTTAATTCAAATTAATATATGTATATCTTTTTCTCTTTCTCTTCTCATAAATTTTTGGTTCACTCATTACTAATTTACAAACAAACTACTGCGCGATTTAGATGTTACGCGAAGATATGCAGTTTTTGAATCGCCCACTGAGACGCGCATTAAACGCGCGTCTTCACTGCACAAAGGCCGCGAAATCGTGCAAAACCGTCGCCTCTTACCTTGCCCCACATTTAAACGAGACGCGATTAATTTTACGGGCCATCTTCTTTCCGTTATTTCACTTAACATCACGGAAACGCGCGCGGCAAAGTGCTCCGTTTTATGGGAAACGCGGATGAACACCGAGTTCGCGCGATTCAGATTTTTTTTTTTTTTTTTTTTTTTACTCTCTTCGCTATTGAATGGTAATGGCGAGTTACGATTGCGATTTATGGGCGGCGTTACACCTCGGAGACTCCGAAATTTCGGTTTTTATAGCCGCGCGCGGCTTATCGCTCGCTACCGGCAATGGACTGCAAAGTGCCGTTGCCACCACCGTCGTCACGCGATCGAATAACGCGAAAAAAAAAAAAGATTCTTAAATCATTTATGTATGACGGAGTAATATCGGCCGAAGCCGATGTCGATTTAGTTAGTAGACTCAAGATTATCACAGCTGACTTCTTTTTTTCGTTTTAATGTGTTGGGACTAGAAAACATCGGTTTGTTACGTTTCTTTTTTATCAACAGTCCGTATCTAGGGGCCAAGACGTAACAATTGTAAAGTTACAAACAAAAAAAAACGAAACTTTGAAGTCAGTCCGGCGGGAGCACAGATGAAGATAAAGACAAAGAAGAAATATACATTATTAATGTAGGCAGTATTATGTATAGTATTATGTAAAAAGTGACAGAGACAGAGACAGAGAGTTGCGAGGAAGCGTAAAAAAGAAACACGATGTATGTTAAGATAGAGAAAAAAAATATAGTGTGCACCACACAAAGAGACATTCGCTTTAAGCTGCCTGCGCAAACGAACATAGACGCACGGGTGTTGAATAAAGTCACACATTGTATGATATGGGGCCGCGCGAGAGAGGTGTGAATAACTTTTCTCGCTTTTCCTGGTTTTTCCGCCGAAGTCGCACGTATTCCGAAAAGTTAGGTTGTTGGAAGTAAACTAACGGATGCCGCGTTTACTTCTCGCCTCAGGAACAAGATACGAAAGTTTCTAGAGAGTAACGAGAAAAAAAAAGTAATCTGGTAAAAAAAAGCGTTTTTGGTTCCTTCCGTCGGGCCAGCCAACATTTAAATCTCTCGAAACAGAAGGGAAAAATCATAGCTCGTGAACGCAATCAAAACTTTGCGAAGTAATTTTGTTAATTAAAAATATTATGAATTTTACAGTATTATCGGATTTTTATTTGTATCGATATTTTATACGGAAAATATCCATGCTCAAACGAGATATCGTTGGAATTAATGTAGATTTTGTGATTAACCCTAAGATGATTACTGTGTCGATTAGGAAACACTATCGACATGAGTGTTTTGTACATTAGAATTAATTCAAGAAAAAAGAAAGAAAGAGAGGAAGAGAAACGAGAGGAACGTGCGTATATCTTTCTCGCCTACAAAGAATGAGTCACGCCTTTCCCGCGTTAGAAGGAAGTTCGGATTTTCCACCGTGTTTCCCATACGGATATTTATTGAACGATCCGATTATTCTAAAAATACTAGTAGCTTGCAACTTTTGCATTTCGTAAATTTTATTGATTCACGTATTTTGTCGAATGTATAATTTTGATCAAAATCTTATCTGTATTTTTATTATTATACTCTGACAGTTACGCACAAAACACACACACACACATACATATTATTTCTCGATTCTTGCAACGATTTGACGGTTCGTTTTCGGCGGTTTTTACGGTAAATCTAAATTACTTAAATATCGTCCGTGATTGAGACTACAGAGGATAGCCACTTGATAGACGATGCCTGCTTACCAAACTCACCTACCTACCTACCTACCTACCTATCTACCTACCTACCTATCTCGCCGAGCCGCAGTCGGCCGTCTCTCGTAGTTATAGTCAACTGGTACGGACCTCTTTGTTGCATTCCGCCACGAATGCTCGCGCACGACGACGCCGGCAGTGTCCAGTTTCATTCACGAGGGGCGCCGTAATTCTTGACGGAGCGCTGGAATTTGTTTCAGAGGTACGTCGCGCGCGCATGTGTGTGTGTGTGTGTGTGTATGTGTGTGTATGTATATAGATATATACACATGTGTGCACGAAGA